TGATGGACAGTCTGTGCTCTGTAGTTTCTGCGCGGACAGACGGACACTATGTACCATGTCGTTCGTGCACTGATGAGCCGTGAAGCCTCCGTTCGAACTCGCGATTCAGAGACTTTGCCGTGAAGCCTCAGTTTGAACTCTCGCTCTGTGTACGGGCAGATAGTACATACTATGGCGTTCATTCATGCATTGATGAGCCAAGTGGAAGCGACTTCCGCTTGAAGTCTCGGTACTTGACTCGTTGTTCGATAGCATGCACTAGGCTAGTCTATGACAACCGGGCTACTCACCAAATGTATAAAATTAGTTCAAAAAGAACTGGAAAAGGTGCTAGTGGCAAAGGTACGCCTGACTGTATCTTCAGCTAGAATGTGGGAAGATACACTTGCCTGTTTTTTTTCGTCTGTCGGACTTGCTCTTGTGGCTGAGGGTGCCGGTTCGATTCCTTGCATTCATGGATGGCCTGAGAAAGTGCTGACTGACTGACTGACTGACATCTGGTGAGTGCTAAAGCAGGGGCCTTGGGGCGTTGCTGCACTGCACAGCACTCTACATGCATTTGGTCGCGTTTTGGACCATGTGCATTCAGAGGGGTCCAATGTTCTGAATGCATTGGGTCCACAAAGAGTCCAAATTCCTGTACAGTGTGTGTTGTGTAGTGGAGCAAGGCCCTTTGTCTCAAAAACTTAGGGAACATAGCTTAGGTTTGTTCTCCGCCAGCCGACTTCGGGATTTTCCTCTAAGAGTTTCAGGGCCTGACTTGTAATGCCCCTACGACGCTTGACCTACTGACCCCGTCGGGCCTACGGGTCCTCTGAACTGGCACTTCGTCGGGCCTATGGGTCCTCTGAACTGGCACTTCGGCTCCAGGGCCCGCTGAACCGGTATTTCCATGGGACAATGCTTGATTACTGGACCCTGTTGGGCCTACGGGTCCTCTGAACCGGCACTTCGGCTCCAGGGCCTGCCAAACCGGTATTTCCATGGGACTGAGACCACTGGGACCCAGTTCCACTTGTGGGCCCACAACTTTTTGCGTTCATCCTCGTCGCCCATCTCCACAAAGTTTTCAGTTGAGCTGCATCCCCTGCGTGCGGATGCAGAGGCAGGTTCTGTGCGTCGTCTGGTGCAGTGCACAGGCAGGTTCCGTGCGTCGTCTGGTGCAGTGCACCATACAGCTGTGCGGCTTGTGCGGTTGCAAGTATGATTTGGACGGATCCAATGTTTCCAATGTATAGGGACCATTATCAACTCCCGATATGTTTCAACAAATGTTGTGTAGTGGAGCGGAGGCCGTTTGTGTTTCTCACTTTTTTTTCTGTTTTTTTTTCCCCTCAAATTTGGTGAGTGCTCAAGTGAAGGCCTTTGTTGCTAACAAACTTATTTAGTGAATATATATATATATTTATATCTAGTGCCAGCGGCGTGTCT